AAAAAAAAAAAGAATGCCACTTTGGGGTTTTTGTTATTGTTTAGTTTGGTTTGGTTTTTTTGAGCAAGGTTCATGTTTTGAGTAGTTCATGCTGTTCTTGAATTCACTGTATAACCCAGGCTGGCTTTGAACTTAAAGTGATCCTCCTGCCTCAGCCTGCTGAGTACTGGGATTACAGGCCTGGTCTACCATGCCCAGCTGTTTTGTTTTGGTTGTTTTTGAGATAAGGTCTCTGTATAGGCCCCTCCTGTCTCAGCCTCCTGAGTAATAGGATTATAGATGTTCATCACTATACCTGGCAAAAAACCACTTTTGAAGATTCACTTCCATTCCACCTGTGTATTTTGTTTTCCCACCTCTACTCCCATCTTCATAGTAGTTTTTTACTTTAGATTTACTCTTATTGAAAGTAAGTGTGGGGGCTGGGGAGATGGCTCAGTAGAATAAGCACTTGCCTGGCAAGCACAAGGACCTGAGTTCAACCCCTGGTTCTGCCAAAAAAAAAAAAAAAAAAAGAAAGTAAGTGTGCTCTTAGCTAAAAAGAGCTTGAAATTTTTCTATTCTAGGGTAAGTCAGGTATTTGTTTCTTAGTCCATAGTCTACTTGTCTAAAATAGGAAGAACCAGGTTTGGTGGCATATGACTGTAGTCCCAGCACTTGGGAGGCTAAAGGAGGAGGATCATCATAAGTTCGAGGCCAGGCTGGGCTACATAGCAAGACCCTGTCTCAAAATAAAGTAAAACAAAGGAAGCTATGTTTCTTATATTCCAGAAAAATCTAAGGATAGACAAGTATATTCCTTATATACACATTTATTGACCAAATGCCTATTCTGTACAAAAGAGCATGTTAGTGTCTTATTGAGCTGAAGCTGAGAGGGTAAGATTGTGCTTTATTTTATATGGTCAATGGAAGAGAATTTAAGCCATAGAAAGTTACAGTGCACTGTGGGAGCTAGTTATTTCTTCCAGGGCATCAAGAAGGTTTTCAACCAAAAGATGCCACTGGGCCTGGCCCTGGAAAGACAAACAAAGGTCCACAGGAGGAAAGAAATATTTGATGCAGTGGAGCAATCAGAAACATTATTAGAGAATATGCAGTGGCATACTGTGACTTGCATATTATGGTCCTGGAAGAATGTGGTGGGAGGTGACTACAAAGATATAAGTATCTCAGATGTAATGCCCCACCACATATATTCAGAAGTCGTCTTTAAAAATTTTTCATTTTAAACTGTGTGAGGTGGCATGGGCCTATGATCCTAGCATTCTGGAAGGCTGAGACAGGAGGATTGCTAAAGTTAGAGGATTGCATAGGTCTGAGCCCAACTTAATGACTTAACAAGACTCTGTGTCAAAATAATAATAATTATTATCAAAATAATAATAATAATAATTATTATTATTATTATAATGCTTGGGATATAACTCAGTGAAAAAGGTCCTGGGTTCAATCCCCAATATTGCCTATATATGCCATTTTAAAACTTTGAGCTGGGTGTGGTATCATAGGCCTATAATTCTATCACACAAGAGACTGAGGTGGTTGGATTGCCAAGTTCAAGGCCAGCCTGGACTACATAGTGAGACCCTGTCTCAAAAGACAAATAAGTAAAACTTTTTAAACTATGAAATTTTTAGTTTATGTTTTATTTTTTAACACATAATATTTGTTTTCTTTCTCTTTCTCTGAGGTCATGGAACGTTCTTTAATATCGACTGCAATGTCTGTTCTTGTTTTGCTGGCAACTTGGTATGTTCTACCCGCCTCTGCCTCAGTGAACACAGTTCAGAAGATGACCGTCGTACTTTCACAGGTGACCACGGGCACCCAGAGGCTGTTGTTGGGGGGCTTTCGTTGAGGGCCGAAGCAAAACCCTGCATATCAGTTTTCCTTTCAAGGCAGCCCCTCTGGTCTTGCTTTAACTGCAGATTTACACAGTAAGATCAATATAGAATTAGAGCACAGGATTCTTCCCTTGTCTGAATTTCAGTTTCTTCCTGTAGGAATTGAAGACTATCGTTAAATGATTTCTTAGGGCCCTTTCAGCATGATTAGTCTAGGATTCCATGAGTTAAAAAGAACAGAGCCAGTGATTGGCATGGTTTCAGTTGAATGAGATTTTCTCACCTGGTAAACACCACTACTGATGCTCAATAAGCAGTCCAGCCGGCAGTGGAGCCCTGGCTCCTGGTTCCTGACGTCCATTGTTGTAGTCTATAGTATCTATGTATTCTCTAAATTTGTTCTCACCACAGTCTTTATCAATTTACCTTATTTTCCTGGTTCACTTAGGCTTCCACAGACACTAACATCTGGAATATTCCTTTCTTGACTTTACCATGCTGAGCATTGGTGTTGTACTCATCCCAGCCCCAAAAGGTATAAAACCTGTGAAATGAGATGTTTCCTTCTGCAAACAGCAGTTGCCAGCACAGCAGCAGCCTATTTGACTGGTGTCTCTTGGTATTTGCTTTGTTTTATTTTGTTTTGTTTTTGTACTTAGGGAAGGGTCCACAAGGTGTTCAGGGTCTCACTACTCAGTCAGACTCAAAGTGATCCATCTGTTTTCAGCCTCCCAAGTGCTGGGATTACAGGCCCACGCCATCACGCCCAGTCTCAATTGCTGTCTCAGCACACCCTGGGAGGCGGGACCAGCACGGCAGGCCCAGGGATCAAACCCCTGGCCCTAATCCACTGAGCTATTTGGCTGGCCCGGTATTTGCTTTATTCTAGATTGGAAATACCTTTGGTTCATCAGGTAAAAAGGCTCTAGGTAGTTACCTAGTCTCCCGTCTCTTGTTTCTGCAAGAGATCTTTCCTTGGAGTTAGTAGTACACATGGAGAGTGGTGGGGTTGGATGAGGAGGACATAAACAGGATCTACCAACCCTCTACCTCCATCCTTTTGGAAGTAATAAGGAAACTAAAAATGAGACGTCAACAGCAAACTGATTTGGAAGTAGAAACAGGACCAACTCTACCCCATTCTCTTTACCCAGTGAGGACCAGCCTTCACTGCTTTATTATCACCGCCACCATCATCATGTTTTGTTATCCTTTGGATTCTTTGCTCTGATGAGAATAATTCAATTCTATTAGAGAAAACAAAGAGATGTAGGGATGAAGAGTGAGCCAAAGATTTACAAAGAAAAATTTTATTTACTTATTTATTTATTTTTATGTATTTGGTACAGGGTTTTACTGTACCGTTCAGACTCATAGTGATCCTCCTGTTTTCAGCCTCCCCAGTGCTGGGATTATAGGCATGGACCACCATCATACCCAGTTTTGGTGGCTGACTCAGTGTTTATAGGGTGGGGCTGGAGTGGCATGTGGTTCCAGGGTTTATTTTTAGTATCTAGATGCTTTGGGGAGATGAACTTTAGAGATAATAAGACCTCATTCCCTCGTATGTGGCCTTTCCTGTCTTGGGATAAATTAAGTCAATGACTACTTAACTGACTCTAAGGAGATTTTACTGGTCCCAAGCTGTACCACATGTGTGACTCTGTCCCATTCCAAATATGTCTCTGAAAGAGACAGACATAAAACTTTTCTTTCTTTTCTTTTTCTCTTTTTATGGGGGGTGGTGGTGGTGGTGATACTAGGAATTCAATCCAGGGCCTTCACATTGAACAATATCTCCAGCCCATTTTTTTGTTTTGTTTTTGTGACAAGGTCTCACTGAGTCACCAAGTTGTCCAGGCTGAACTCAAACTTTCCACCCTCCTGCCTCTCTCTTGCAGTCCCACTATATCCATCTGGCCATAAAACTGCAAATCACAGAATTATAATAATTTGGGCTGAGGTCATATCTAAATGGTAGAACACTTTCCTAACACATGTAAGGCTCTGGGTTCAACTCCCAGACCTGCAACAAAAAAGAAAAATTATAGTAATTTCCCAAATTACCTTCTTGTTCTTCTCTCTTACTAAGGAGATGAGAGTGAAAGGAACTTATATGGGGAACCTAAAACCTTTGTGTTGTCTTATTTTGGTATTTAATGGTCAAGAAATCCCTGATTCCAAAGCCAGGCATTTTGACATACCTGTAGTCCCAGCTACTTGGGAGGCTGCAGCAAAGATCTCAAGTTTGAGGTCAGCTTGGGAACACAGCAAGATGCTGCCTCAAGAGAAAAAAAGAAAAATCCCCTTGCCAGACTTTATACATCTAAACTCTAGATTTTATAGATTGGGAGAAACATGCTTTTCTTGTCCTACCTATAGGAGTCTGTACCTGGCATCAAAGTCTAGAGGCTCTCAGTTAGCTGGCAATAAATAGCCATGGAGAGTGGTGGGGTTGGGTGGTGCTTTAATCCACTGAGCTATTTGGCTGGCCCGGTGTTTGCTTTATTCTAGATTGGAAATACCTTTGGTTCATCAGGTTAAAAGGCTCTAGGTAGTTACCTAGTCTCCCATCTTAAAGCCATCTTACAAAAATGGCTTTTCAGAGCCTTGCTGCTTTAAAAAACCCTGTCCAAGTATGCAAGTTTTTTCCATTAATTTACAACTCTAAAGCGATCACTACTTGATTTTCCTTTTTTCAAAAGTTTTATTAGTCTTTCACCTGGAACTTCCATCTTCCAGTAATTTTCCAAAATGACTAACACAAAGAACAAGAGGAGAAGAACCTGGTGTATGTTCTCCAGGCCTTTTAGAAAACATGGGGTTGTTCCTTTGGCCACATACATACAAATCTACAAAAAGGGTGATATCGTAGACATCAAGGGAATGAGTACTGTGCAAAAAGGAATGCCTTACAAATGTTACCATGGCAAAATGGCAAGAGTCTACAACGTTACCCAGCATGCTGTTGGCATTGTTTTAAACAAGCAAGTTAAGGGCAAGATACATGCCAAGAGGATTAATGTGTGTATTGAGCATATTAAACACTCAAAAAGTTATGATAGCTTCCTAAAATGTGTCAAGGAAAGTGATCAGAAAAAGAAGGAAGCCAAAGAGAAAGGTACTTGAATTCAGCTGAAGCACCAGCCTGCCCCACCCAGAGAAGCACACTTTGTGAGGACTAATGGGAAGGAACCTGAGTTGTTGGAACCTATTCTCCATGAATTCATGGCATAAACTGGGGATGTTGCTCTGCCATTTAGCACCTAATTGGCAGCTTAAGTGTTCTAGATCCTACATAAAAATAAAATGATTCTTAATAAAATTATGGCAAAAAAATAAAATAAAATAAAATAAAATGATCCTGTGTTTTAAGGTTGGTTTTCTTAGTTGAACAGGTATGTGGTGACTTCTTACCTCAGAAATATTTGTAGCAGATTTTCACTGTACCTAGTAATTGTATCTAGCCTTTACTTGTAAGTGTTTTTCTTGCTGAAAGATATTGCTAAGGTATTGT